TTTATTTATTCCCTTGTTACTCCCAGATGCCTGAAGATTATACAATCAATGCATTTTAAAGTGTGTCAAGAGCTTGTCAGTTTCTAGCACTTTTTTCTGAAATGCTGGCAACTCAAAATATTCCAATTTTTGATGAGACCTGAGGTCTGGCAGGGAAGAAATGTAATGTCTTCTCCCAGAAAATTTTTTGTCATTGTCTTCCTCTCTATCACTGACTTCATTTTCTAATTGTTTTTCACTCATTTCTTGTGAGGCCACAAAAAATAAACTAAAACAAAAAACCAATCTGTCTTCCACTCTTTCTCTTTCACCTTGTTTTACATATGCAATTCAAAAGCTTCTTATCTGAGTGTTCCTTAGCTCTTTTGAGACACAGATGCAATCAGACTTCAATCCAAATTGCAGGTTTTGCAAGTGCACTTTGCTTGTCTCCATTTACAGGGGATAAAGGAGTCTATTATCAGCTCTGCCGTTCACTCCTTGCATCCAGGCAATTACGAAATGCAGGACACAACATTGCTGGCTGTCACTGCACTGGAGGAGGTAACACCAGAGACAAGAACATGTGTAACCTGAAGCCAAATGACTACTGGCAGAGCAGCAGATGGGCACATACTGGCCAGGTCAAAATTCAGTTTGGAAATCAGAAAGCAGTTTCTAACCTGAAAGCTGTTGGGTTATCCTAAAGAAAGGGGGAAAACTTCGAGTGCCCTGTTTTAGGAGGATTGCAAGGAGACTGTTTGTCACAGCCCAGTCTGAGCTCAGTGACCCAAAGGCACATCTCCAGACTTTCAACTCTGCAAGTATATAAAATATGTGAAGAGCAAATAGCCTAATTTAGGCTCCTGTTTTGAATTATGCTTTGAAAGAGCCTCTTTCTTTATGTTCCCACTGTTTCCCAAACTGGAAACCTAAAGAATCATGCTAACTTCTGCCACTGGGTTTAAAATTGTCTATTTTCTGAATGCTGCTAAACTAAGAAAATCAGAATAGGCTGTTCATTTCTGTTAATCAAAAGCTGATTTATTTTTTTTTTCCTTTAAAGAGACCAAATTTTCTCTTCAGGGAAAATCTTAACTAAGTTAGTGTTGGTCTTAATAGAGTAAATTGAGTGTCAGAAGCTGCTGCTTCTCTTTTTAATCTGTAAAGCCACTCAGTTGTCATGAGTCTATCTCATCTTTACACATGAGATTTTTTTTTGCTTCAAATACACTTGCATGTATTTGAAACCATTCAGTGAATATTCATTCATCTTTCTTACAAAAAAAGGAAATGGTCCCATATTATCTAAATGTATTTTCTACAATACCAACAAAAATGTTATATCTGACATAGTTAAAATAAATGTCCACCTATTTTGAGATGCCAGTCATCTTAATACATCCCAATGCTCTGAATTTGTGCCACAGAAGTCTTTGAAACATCAGCGCACACAAGAGTTTTGGTAATCACAATACCCACGGTTTTGGACAATATCCATATGAACAGGAGTGCTTTAACATTTATAAATGCAAAATTTCGCAAATGCATTGAGTTGCAAAACTCTGAATTAGCACATCTGCATTGTGTGGCTCGAGGTAACAGGACTCAAAGGTGATTTGCTCTGAAGGCATCATAAACAAAAAATACCACACATAAGCAAAAGAAGCCTGTCTGTTAAAATCAACATGGTTGAGTAGTCAGGGCAGGAGGAGGCAGGGATGGGGCAGAGGAGGCTCCAGGTCTCCAAATTTGAGCCTGTTTTCCAAATCATGTCAGGTGTGAGCCAGTTCAGGAGGTGGAAGCTGGTACCATGTGAAAAGCGGGGGAAGTGCTGCAGACCCTCACTTATCCCTAGTACAGCAGAGATGTGTTTATCACCACAAAGCAGATGTACCACCCCCACTGAGAAAGACCTCTGCCTTTTTTCAATTAATTCTTTTAGAAAAAAATGCAGAAATTATGGATTTTAGATATATTTTTTTTTCCCAACAGTTGGAGTTACATGTCACAGCATCATTTTGAACCATAAAAATTATAAAACTACCATCTCTGGGTTTTTTCCCTCTTCTGCCTTGTGCATGTTGTTTTCCTTTTTGTTTGTTTGGTTTGGTTTGTGGATTTTTCTTCATCTTGTTCTTCTAGTTTTCCGCTTCTCATTTCTGCTTTGATTCTCCTTATATTGCTCCCTCTTGCAAGCAATTTTTGCTTTATTGGAAGCAATATCAGACCTATTACAGAGCTGCAGGGCTTGCATTAACTTTAGGATTGCTTCACACCACTTTGGGTAGGAAACTGAGGGACAGTTTCCCACTATGTCTTTGTTTGTACGCCCCATCTATTATCTCTAGTTATTGTCTTTGACAAGAACATCCACAAACACCCGAAGTTTATGTCCAAAAAGGAGACAGAGTCCTGTAACTTTATTTAAATAAAGGGACAAAGTCCCCTGGGGTCACACACCTGCGGGGTTTTCTCTCTTGAGGTTCCGGAGGCTGCAGCCTCCTTTTATCCCAAAGTCCCAGCTGCATGTTGCCCTCTTCCTTTCCCCATTGCTGAGGTACTTTGCCTTACTTTTACATTGCTGAGGGTACAGCCTTCCTGAACTGCCTACCACATATTCCCCCCTTGAACCTACTATTTTACCCCAAAGTTTAGAAGTTCAGGATTGTGCAGTCCCACTTGGTTGTTTCAGGAGTCAAGCTGCAGAGGCTCTGTAATGAACCTGCTGCCCACAGTCAGCAGAGGCATTAAGACCCATTTTGAAGATGTTAACACCCATACTTTCACCCATCAATTTATAAAGACATTGGCTTACATCTCATCTTATCTAGCACATGAATAATCACAGGGATACACAGTTCAAAGGTTAGGAGTTGTCACTTGATTTTGTTTTTGTACAGGACCTCCTGCAACAGAGTCCAACAACAAACTCCTAGGTACTGTTGCACTATAAACAATGCATTTTTTAATGTGTTTTTTAAACTGGATAACATGTAAGTTTGAAAATTGCAAATCAGGAAAAGAAGGTTTCTGTAAGAGTGAAAATCCATAACTTTTCCAGCTTTTAGCCCTGCAGACCTGATGATTTTCATAGTGATAATGTTCTTGTGTTGATCCACATTCAGTGGAGATGCCTTCAGAAGGCATCCCATACTATAAACTCCCAGTGGCCTCTGGAGACATGTGCAGTGATGATCTCATACAGAATTTATATTTATTTGCACTTGCCTTATTTTCTAAAACAGCAATGTTGAGAAGGGAGAAGTGGAATGAGGCCTGAAGCATTGAGCCACACCCTAGCACAGTATTTTTGCATTTGACTTGCATTTTTACATGAGTATAAAGAGATTCATGAAGCTGCAATCTGGAGCAGAGTCTGGCCCATCTGTTTAAGAGACAGTATAAATCCATCTTTTCACTCTGCCCCACAGTACACATGCAAGAATACTTGCATGAGAAGTTAAAAAATGCAGAATACATTAACACAATCCAGAAACACTTCCCACTACAGAAACCTCTGAAAGGCACTGGCAAGGACATTTTTTTTGGCTTACATCAAATATCACTTGATTCATAGTTACTCCAAATGGTGATGATTTCAGTATGGTGATTCCAAGGCCATGACTGATTTTAGTACATGAGCATGGTGATTCCCTTTCTGAACACTGACACCATTTAACAAAGCATAGGGATTTTTGTTCTGATGAAACCAAATCTTGCTTAAATGTTACAGACCTCATTTCTGGTTTTATGATACGTGCATTAAAATGCCCTTCTGATTTCCTGGTCACCAAAGCAGTAAGAAATCAGACATTCTCTCCAGGTAGTCCACAACTTTGCTGAAAACTCTGCTCACAGAAAATGAAAACAACTTTCATTGTGTGCTGAATACCTCTTGAAAGGGCACTTTCAGATTTTAATATTATTTGGAATGATTTGGAATTAATGTAACACTTATCCATTCCAGAGAGAAAACCTCTTGTCTCCTCAAATTTGCACAGTAGTCAAGGCAGTATCAACATCTCTTCGAGGAGGTACCAACACAGCAATGCTTCCAAAATAGCACCAATACTCATTGTGCCAGAGCTCTAGGACTTGCAGCCTGAGGTGTCACCATCTTGAAGTTCTGCTCAACATCAGCCTCAAGCCAGCACAGGGGGCATGCACGGAGGACACGGGGGCTGGCCCGGGCACAGGGCTTGCAGTCACCCTGCTCAGCTCTGCAGCAACTGAAGGATGCCCTTTTGCCTCTGCTCCCATGATCTTACTGCAGTTATCTAATCTTGCTTTTAAAGAAGGTATCTGTCATTTACCAGCACAGCACAAATGCAGGAATGGCCAAACTTTTCTAGACAATGTAGAAAAGTTGAATGTCCCCAGAAGATGACCAGGCTACCTCATGGTCCTAATTCAAGGCAATGGCTGGTTCATATCCAAACAGTGTAATTTCTCACTTAAATTAACGTAATGCCTGAGAGGGTGTATTTCAGAAACAGCTATTTGAAGGTTTGTTTGGGTTTTTCTCACTGAGTTTTGCACTGCTTTGATGCCATAGTTTTTGGATAAGACAATTTTAAAGAACAGTCCAGCTCTGCTCAGGAGTTACATGTATACAAGGAAGCACTTGATTGCTAAACATATTTATATTCACCACCTCAGGGCGATACTTGCATTCTCATTTGCATAAGGATGCACCCATGCCTCTTGCAGTTGTGACCCAAAGTCCTTGCTGTGTGTGGGAGAAGTGAGTTTCTGTAGCAAGGAAGCAAGGAGAGAGGTTGTGTTGTCTCCTGCAAACTTCTGCTGAAATCTCAGTAGCTTCTAAGTGTTGTTTCCGCTTGGACTAAGTTGGCTTCTCTTTGCTCTCTCTTCCTTCCCAAATGTATCAGACAAAATAAATCTTAGGAGAGATTTCTCTGCTTTCTGCTTGAATACTATGATCTCCTCAACATTCTTCGGGTAGAGATTAAAATCTGACAATAGGTTCCTGCAGGAGCAGGAGACCATGTCCATGCACAGGGAAGCTTGTCTTTCTGAGCCACAGCATGGACAGGGAGATTGCAGGCTTTGATGGACAGCACTTGGGGATTTCTCTTCCACTCCTTGAAAAAGATGTCCAAAATATGTAGGATCATGGAACAATTCAAGGTGGGTAAGGCTTTGTGCATCTCCACTCCCAACAGCCTGGCCAAAGCAAAATTGTCTCTGAATGTCAGGTTGCTCAGGGCTTGAGGAAGTTGGGTCTTAAAAACCTGCGAGGACAGGGTGTTCACAAACTCTGGGCCCCTGTCCCACTGCCTGACTGCCCTCTTGGTGAAAAAAACTGTTCCTAATCTCCAGTCTGAATATTGTCTGTCATGCACCCATATGGTGACCTTGGCTCTGTTTTCCTGAGGACGCCACAGGAAAAGGTTTGCCCAATGCCTTTCTGCGATGCTGTAAGGGGCAATGAAACCATTCTACTTAGCCCCCTGCAAAGGCATGGGGCATGCGATTCCTGCCTGATTTAGCACTGCAGTGATCTCTTTACCCTATATACATGGGACAGAGGCAGATTGAATGCAGAAAGAGACTGTAGGAAGGCCTGTGAGTTTTAAGCAAATTGCCTGAGGTTATGGAAAAGCAATCAGGTCTCTTTCACTTTTGTCATTTTGTGGACAGGAGAGTGCTTTCTCCAGTGCTGGGAATGGAAACAGCAGGCACCTGAACTTCCTGCACTGCTCTCCAGAAAAGTGTCCATCTGGCCTCTGAACCACAGCTCTCTGGAGGTTTTCTGGTGGGTCCTGTCAGGCTAGGGGGATTACCCTGTGTGTGATGCCTTGCTTTTTGGTTGGTCTGAGGTTTTGGGGTGGAGGGGACATTGTAAGTTCTGTGCTGCAAGGATTTTTCCCTTGACAGACTGCAGTTTTTTGTGGATAAGAATAGAAGGGTTAAACCTCCATGTGATACAGATGTAAAGCAAAGAAAGAAACCCCAGCTGGGAGGTTAGTACTGAGATTAGCAATGTTGATGCAGCAGTTTTGCAAACCCTCAGCTTGGGTGATATTTCAGCTACAAGGCTGTCCTCTCTCATTCACAGGAGAGAAAAAGTGCAGTCCCAGCTTCGGGATCTACAAAGACTCTTTTATAGTGGAAGGCAGTGAATCTGGCTGTGTGCTTCATTTTTACAAAAATAAATTATACTTCTGTCCAATGAAATGCCACATCAAGTGATCTTATCTCCTCTTTGCTTCAGTAAGGCCAAAGGAATCAGCCTTCTCTTTCCATGTGAAATTCATTGCTGTCATGCTCATTCTTGTTTGCTACTTTTTTCTCTACCTCCAGAGTTTGTCTACCTCTCTCACTTAGATCCTCTTCTCTTCCAGGCAACCACCTTCTTGCCCATGGGAGAACTGCTGGACACAGACTGCAAAGAGCCTTCATTGCTGAGTGTGTAATGAAAGCAAGTGCTACTGCAAACTGGAGGTTAGCATAGGTACCCAAAAATATGGTTTGTGCGTGTGTGTGATGTATTAGAGCATTTAAACAATCAGGATTACTTTTACAATCCTATGATTGCTCCTTGCCTAGTTGGAAGTATTTGTTAATCATTGGCATTAAAAGCTAAAGTCTGTGAAACCCAGCATGTGCTTTCATTTTAGGAAGATCATAAGGAAATTTTTTAGCCAATTGGGCACATACTTATTGAGCAAGATCTTGTCTAGAAAAACATCCATATTCCAAACTAAGGGCTTTCTCATGACTAATTTTGCAATATATTTATTTTTGTTCTCCAGGATGGCATTCACTTCAGTGTTTCCACTACACTTATTTTGCAGTTGCTAGCTTTGGCCTCAGTTTTGTTTTTAAGGAAGCATGAAAAAAACAAAATCAGAAGACATGTACGTGTGTTATCAACACTAGATCAACTTCTTCTTTATCAGTCATCTACGGTTTTGCTGGCTACTAGCTTACAGTTGAGGCTTTGGGGTGTTGATTAGGTTGCATCCTCTGCCTAGAGTGCCCATGCAGAGAGCTCACTACGTGTCCAGGACAGAGTCACCAGAGTCCAGGTCAGACTGGTTTCATGATGCACAAAATGAAGAAAAGCAGGAAATTCCGTAAGCGCAGAACAAGAATGACCAGTACTTTGTTTTTAGACACAGCCCTCAAAGAAGTTTGAAGATTGATTATTAATATCTTGTCAGAATCTGGATGCTGCAGGCAAACTGATATGCCCAGATATCTCATTACATAAAGAGACATTTGGGACAAATAACAGGTGGGAGAAGAAAGGAAGAAGGTATGACTTAGTGCTCTGATGAATGTCACTGGGGTCACTGTTGCTGTTTGAGCTGAGTTGGCAGGGCAAGCATGTATGATACACATGCCCAGCACACACAGAGCACAGGCTGGCTCCACCACAGCCTGACATATGAGTTCAGGCTGAGGCTGGAGGGTAAGGGTTGGGTTAGCCAGGACAGAAGGTTTGACACAAGCAACAAGGAAAGTGTAGTGCGCAGATAATCCAACTGCATATTAAAACTTGCAGCTCAAGGAATGCCCTGAGATAGATGTGAACCCAAACATGTTTCTATGGATTTAATGTTCAATATAATGGCTCTTCTCAAGAAAGAAGTGCATATGAGAGATTTGTTTCCCTAAAGCAGTCAATAAAAATGCTATGCATTTTTTTTTCTCCTTAAAATATTGCATAGCACAAAAATGCTGAAGTGGTACTGAGTGATAGTTGATATCTGAATTTCCAGGCACATTGCTAAGCAGCCTTTGAGAAGCACACTGATATTTATGTGAGCAGAGAATTCCCCATGGCTCCGTCTGAAGAGTTGCTCACCTGGGCTGAGCCCTCCTGTTGCTCCCCGCTTTGCAAGGAAAGCCTGGCACAAATAACACAAAAACAGAGAGCAGTGCCAAGCTGCTCCAATGTCTTGGGCAAAGTAGAGTGCATGGGGTTTAAAATACCATTTGGTGGTCATGGAGAGAGCTGCTGCTGAAACTGCAACAATTCATCCAGTGGCACTTGCTTCTTTTGTGGTCTTGGCTTATCAAAAGCAGCTGTAGTTACCCAGCAGCCAGACTGGACAAAGTCTATTAGGTTAAGGCAAAGTTAATATTTGCAATGTGTGGGGAAGAACAGAGGCTTGGAATCACGCATTAACACACATTAACATTAAGAATAAGCCTGAAGGTGGCCCTCCTCTGCGCTTGCTCCAACAGGTTGATGTCCTTTCTGTGCTGGGGAAGTCACTGGTTTTATTTCAAAAAATCAGAATGAACACAGGTTTTGTTAAAGAATGAGCTGCCAGCCAAGATTATAATGACAAAGTGATTTAGTTTTAAGATAAACTGTGCAGTGATATAGCACAGAGAATCATTTTTGAAAAACAATTTGGAGTAACACCTCAGAGGATTTCATCCTCCTGTGGAGTGCTCTGCCAATTCACATTCACAATAATGAGAGCTACACAAACACCTGCCATGTGTTTAGTCCATGGAAACTTCATGTATAGTGAAGTCATCCTAGTTTGGATGGGTGGAGGAAGTGGCAGAAAGATGTCTGTCTAAGCCACAAACTCCTCATGTGACCTTGTACAACTCATATGTAATTGTGCAAGTTCACCATTGGTGGAGCTGGACCGTGCTTTAACATTTTAATTCATCAAGGGAGAAACTAAAAATATTCTTATAGGTGGTCCCAAACTGGGAGAAATTATAGAGGAATGTGATCTTTGCCTGTTACTTGAGAACCAAATTTTCCACAAGGATTTATCAAAAGCATAGTGACACTGCTGGAGCTGAAGGCATTACCTCTGCCTCACAGACACAATACCAAGCATTTAATGTGAAAGCTGAATGGCCAAGCTGCAGGCATTCGTGGCATCTCTACTAGCCAGCTCTGCTCAATACTGTTCATGGATTTTCCTGACCTGTTGCCTATTTGTTTTTCAAGGAGCACTTGGCTGTCTTCTGCCAGTGATAGCATAAAAGGTAATGAAATATGTTCATTCACCAGTGCTTCAGGCAAATACACAAGCTTAGCTGCAAATAAAGTGTTTCTTGGAACCTGATGACTGCCTTCATGTACATTGATGATAGTTGCTGTGTAATAATAGAAACCAGAGAAGGGAACGTTTGAAATAAAAGAAAATAAAGAGGAAAGGTTTGTCAAAGTAGCTTTGCAAAATGAGGGCTCAGTAATGAACTAGGAAAATAGGAAGGGGAGCTGAAATCAGAGAGAAAATGTAATAAATATTTTAGTATTCCTTTTTCAGATAGTTTTGTAGATTTGTCCAAGAAAAAAAAAAAAAAAGTGATTCATGCATCCTACAAAACTCTATATTTACGAGTAGTAGAACTAATTACATGAAATATTGCTGCTCAATATAAAATACTTCAAAATAGGCAAAGGCAATAAGATAACTAACAGCCAGGTTTCAGGGAAGATCTCTGAGCTGAGGCTTTGAAACCACAGCTTAATGCCGTGTGACTGACTTGAGGAGGATGATTAACTCTTGATTCATGGTTCTGGGGACAGCAGCCAGCAGCCACTTCCTCTGGAACAGTGCTGATGTGCTGTGCACTGCTTCGAGCAGAAAGTGCTCATTACATGCTTTCACAGAAATGTTGCAAGTGCTTTCTACTGCCGCTGGCACTGGTCTTGCTCATAAACTCACATGGAGCAGCTTCTTTCTTATGCTTATTGCAAGACACAAAACTTGTGTTGCACTGCTGGCAGGTGGTGGCTTGCCTGCTCTAGATAATTTACTGCCTTTAATTTTGATGAACAACCATTTCCTAAAGAGAAGATGATATCTCTACTTTTTTTTTTTTTTTTTTTTTTTCACCAGTGCAGCATTACTGACAACATGATTGATGCCAGGTTGTAGGATGCTATAGGCTTGTGTGCTTGAGTAAGGTATGTAGGTTTGTTCAATAAAGCACCATGAAAAGGTTAAAAATTCACTGTAGTGCAGGACAAATATAAGAAGGCATGAAAAATGAAGGAATAACCAACCTGCAGGAACTAAGAGCCATGACCCAAGAAGAAAGAACAGGAGAACACTGTAAATCAAACTATAAAACTAAAGAACAACTTTGCTTGAACTTTGTGTTCATTGGCTCAGTAAAGCACCCACTGATAAGCTGTCATTGCCCCTTATTCACATAAGCTCCTTCCTCTTAGAGCATGCACAGTAAAATCAGTGTCTACTGTATCTTTATATTTAAATGGAGACCAGAGAAAGAAAAGCCAATGACTGTATAATTAAGTTGTTACATATACAGGAGATTAATTTTTTTAATTGCGGAAATGTATAAAAATGAGCACTTAGCATGCTGAAGATGTGCCAACTTTGTGGCTTCATCACCTACCACCCATCTCTGCACAGATATTAAATGAGTTCAAATATCTCAACTCTATGTGTGGGATGGCTTCTTATGCAGTGGGAAAAAGAACCCATGCTTGGGAATACAGGTTTGTAAAGCACATTCCTGTCCTTTGTCAGTGGAAAAGAAACCATCAGATGGGAACTCAGATCCTAGAATTCAGAGCTCTTTTTTGACTGTCATCAACATCTGATCACCTTGAGTCCATAAATAAAACTGTACTGCTAACTCATTCACCTGTTACTAACTCATCTTCACACTGTTTCGATTTGGCTTTCTGTGTTGCACATATTTCATGGGGACATCTAGTTGGAATGGCACAAAAAGAAACCAAAGAGGGAAGTTAGCCAGCAGTGCACACCATATAGGTCCAGTGCTTCAGCTGGCTTTTTCATGTTCCTTGTTTAGCTTCACAGATCTACTCTTAAGAGTCTAAAGATGGGTGGGATGGATGTTCATTACCCTGTGGGGCTGTGTCTTTCATTTTCTAGGGTGTTTTCAAATTGTTCCATCAAGGAGCTTTTTGCTTATCACTGAACACTGCAAATGGTGCTAATAAATACAGGATGTTCCCCCCTCCACCCCTGTTCAGAGTTATTCCAAGGATTATTCCAGGGGAATTTCTAGGGCACATCTTTCTGATGTCCTTAGTACAGCACCAGTTATTTAAGATAAGGAAGTAGGCCAAAGGCTCTTTAGCAGCCTGTGTTGCTGATGCAGAGTTGTTACAGGAATTGTGTTGCCAAACCATGAACAGCATAGGCCTGATTTCTTAGTTATTATTATTGAACCTACTACCACTGGATGAGATGGAAAAACATTTCACTCAATCATACTTCTGCTAAATCAAACTGAAAGCTCATTTGGAGGATTTTAAATTTTTTTAAAAAATAATTTAGTCTGGGAAAGACATGCAGTTCATGGTATTAGTGATGTGGTGGAAAGAAACCACTCAGAATATACTGATACAAAATTTCTCTATCAGTATTTTAGGACAAAATAAAGTTGAAATAATTTCCTTACTTTGAAGCCTGGGGCTGTGCTGGTTATCTGATAATAGGAGTCTCAGAGCTGTCTTC